CAAACACTAAATATGTTCTAAGATGCAGAGTGTTTTTTCAGGGTCCAGAAAATGTTGTTAAGATTATTTTCGATCAACATAGCTTACGTTTCAAGTCTTTGCACTCAAACTTTAAAAATCACATCAGAAAAAAAGAAAATATGAAATAAAAGGACGGTGCATCTCTTATGGAAGCTCAGGTCGCTTTGATAACGTCCTTAATCTCGTCTGTATTGTTGGTGTCTCTCGTCTTCCTCTTGACAATACTCTATAAAACATAAAACCTGAACATCATAGGAAGTCAGGCATCATGATTACTCAGGCAACACAGGAACCTAAGCAACTGAGGTTGAGACCAAGAGGACCAACAATGTAAGAAGATAAATTAGCGTCAGTAGTTCAGTCCGTAGGGACTTGGGTTGGAAACCGGAGATGCAGACCATATTGTGGAAGTAGGTCTGGTAGCTGGAGAGGTGCCAGGTCACTTCCACTTGGACATCTCTCCATTAATACACGTCCACAGGTCCTGTTTGTGCATGTGTGTGAGAAGCATGTCTCTCAATAACCAGAATTTCCCCTCAGGGATTAATAAAGTATATAAATAAATAAAATAAAAATCAATTCAATTAAAAGAGAGAAACAATAAAAAAGTAATTAGAAGCTTTAAAACAAGAGAAGAGGAATCTTTAAGATGGTAAATGGTAAGAGGAAGGTATTCGATATAGAATGAAATAACAATCAAAACAGCTGAAGCATTAAATGATAGAAAGGAACTTTATTAATCCCTTGGGAAGGTTCCTCAGCAGCAGGTAACACCAAAGGATAGAACAGCACACAATATAAAAAACACAAGTTATATACAAATAATAAACTGTACACAGTAGCAGCAATAGGCATGTCTAAAAAATATACCGCTACAGATTTATGCTAAAATAGCAGCAGCAATAAAAAATGGGAGCAGCAGTTGTGTTGTTTTGTTTTTGTTCTTTGTGTAACTAGAGAAAAGGAAGCAGTTAAGATCAACTGGACTTAAAAACTAAACAAAAACAAAAAAACAGAAGAGCAATGAAATGAAGTGAGGATCTATGGATAATAAAGTAATTAGAAGAATAAAATAAGTTCTCTTGTGAAGCTCTCAAAGTGTGTTGTTGTAGTTGTAGTTCTCCTCCTGTCCGGCAGGTGATGTAGTTCTCCTCCTGTCCGGCAGGTGATGTAGTTCTCCTCGTCTGTCCGGCAGGGGTGTAGTTCTCCTCCTGTCCGGCAGGGGTGTAGTTCTCCTCCTGTCCGGCAGGTGATGTAGTTCTCCTCCTGTCCGGCAGGGGTGTAGTTTCCCTCCTGTCCGGCAGGGGTGTAGTTTCCCTCCTGTCCGGCAGGGGGTGTAGTTCTCCTCCTGTCCGGCAGGGGGTGTAGTTCTCCTCCTGTCCGGCAGGGGTGTAGTTCTCCTCCTGTCCGGCAGGGGTGTAGTTTCCCTCCTGTCCGGCAGGGGGTGTAGTTCTCCTCCTGTCCGGCAGGGGGTGTAGTTCTCCTCCTGTCCGGCAGGGGGTGTAGTTTCCCTCCTGTCCGGCAGGGGGTGTAGTTCTCCTCCTGTCCGGCAGGGGGCGCTACCTGCAGAGCTACGTGGTTATAAAACAGCCCGGAAGACATGGCTCAGATTAGCATAAAAAAGCAAGAGTACATGTGTGAGAAACTGGCGTTGAGTTGGTTAAAAACGTAAAGGTAAGACTCAGCTGTCCCGGGTTAGGTCAGGTAACGTGTTAGTTCAGGTAACGTGTTAGTGAAGAATCTTTTAAACTGCCTGAAGCTAACGAGTTAGCCGGCTAGCTGCTGTGGCTAACCAGGCTAACGTTTCCCTCAGCGACAGAAAGAAGAAGAAGAAGAAAAGAGAAAAGATGTAAAAGATGTAAAAGATGTAAAAGATGTAAAAGATGTAAAAGATGTGATGTTGTCTTCAGATGAGCTGAAGGTGAAAACACGTTTCCGGTCTTTACTCTGAATCTTCACTGAGCAGAAGCTAACGTTAGCTGCTAAGTGTTAGCATCAGGTTAGCTGCTAAGTGTTAGCATCAGGTTAGCTGCTAAGTGTTAGCATCAGGTTAGCTGCTAAGTGTTAGCATCAGGTTAGCTGCTAAGTGTTAGCATCAGGTTAGCTGCTAAGTGTTAGCATCAGGTGATCAGATATAAACAGCCTTTAACTGTGAATCCTAAAACATCTGAACCGAATCACTTCCTGAAAAGAGTCGTTCATTTCTCTCCTGTCTCCTGTCTCCTCTCTCCTGTCTCCTGTCTCCTGTCTCCTGTCTCCTCTCTCCTGTCTCCTGTCTCCTCTCTCCTGTCTCCTGTCTCCTGTCTCCTGTCTCCTCTCTCCTCTCTCCTGTCTCCTGTCTCCTGTCTCCTGTCTCCTCTCTCCTCTCTCCTGTCTCCTCTCTCCTGTCTCCTGTCTCCTCTCTCCTCTCTCCTCTCTCTTCTCTCTCTGTCTCCGTCTCCTCTCTCCTGTCTCCTCTCTCCTCTCTCCGTCTCCTCTTTCCTCTCTCCCGTCTCCTTCTCTCCTCTCTCCGTTCCTCTCTCTCCTCTCTCCTCTCCTCTTCCTCCTCTCTCCTCTCTCCCGTCTCCTCTCTCTCTCTCTCTCTCTCCTCTCTCCTCTCTCCTCTCTCCTGTCTCCTCCTCTCCTCTCTCCTGTCTCCTGTCTCCTCTCTCCCGTCTCCTCTCTCTTCTCTCCTCTCTCCCGTCTCCTCTCTCCTCTCTCCTCTTTCCTCTCTCCCGTCTCTCCTCTCTCCTCTCTTTTCGTACTGACTGAACCAATAGGAGGAGTCGGTCAGGAGCTCTGTGTCTCTAAAGCCCCTATTCTCCCCTCTCATGTCTCCAAAATTGAGGAAGTAGAAAATATATTATTTAACATTTAGGTGTCACGAAAATGTTTGTGCTTTTTATATCTGCTGTCAGTTTACAAACAGCTTTTATCCAACTTGATTTAACTCAATTTAAGTTAGATTTTTATCGATTCGTTTTTGCAGCACTAAAGTAGACCTGGTCTGAGGACCTGAGGGGTCTGCGGGGATTTAGGGATGGAGCGGGTCAGGTAAACAGGTGCCTGATGATGCAGACCTTTATTAACAAAACACAGATTTTAAAATGAATTCTGACAGTTATTAGAAGCCAATGCAAGGAGAATAAAACCGGAGTGAAGTGAGAGAACCTGCCAGACTGAGTCAACAATCCTGAAGCTGCATTTGTGAATAATTTGTATCAAAAAAGAAAATGAGCGAGTTGGAGAACTGACATGCAAACTGTGATTTAAAAAAGGCATTTCAATAACAGTGTTAGTTCTCCTCCATCAGGGACATCAGCTTTACCTTAAAGTGTGTTTGTTTACAGCTACAGACTAAAACAGGCTGTAGCACATCACATCGTCTGTGATGTGACTATCGTGATGGTACATGAATGTAGCAGTCAGGCCTATAATTGACTTAAAATGTCCTTTTTGTTTTGTTCCAGAAAGATGAACTTAGAGTCCAGAGCACAGATGCAGAGCCCGGTCTACATGTCATCCCAGGCTGACACAGAGAGGTAAAACCTGCTCGTTGAAACATTCCCTCTGCGCCTGAAGGATCAACTCATCTTGTGTGTTTTTGACTCCAGGTTTTTGCACTTTTCAAAACCAGCTCACCAAAATCATCATGTCTCATCGAGGCCTTTAACTGCCGTCATAACGACGGTGTTAGGGGCGACCTTAGGAGGACTGCTCATATGGCGAGTTTACCGGACGAAGCGGAAGAGGCGCCTTCATCCAGAAGGTGGCCGATCCCGTGGACGCTCCGTGTCCTGTTGAAAAGACGTTTACAGCTGTGGAGTATAAAGACCCCGTACAAGAGAAGGAGTTCAAGGCCGTGGAGTGTGAGACCCCTCAGCAGCGCCACGTTGTGAAGATACCGTCTTCTGAGCAGCTGCTGGGAGTGAAGCCTGTGATGGTGAGCTCTGAAGAAGAGTGGCAGCAAGCTTGGCCGCTGATGCAGAAGGAGCTGTCGGTGTTCCCCGTGCTGGGGCTCGCTGTGAATGTGGTAAAGACCGAAGGCGTAGAAATACCTTTTGCATGCTTTTACAATATAAGAGGAAAAATCCACCCTGCACGATTCATTGACAGATGGAGTTATAGAGTCCAGTCATTCCTGCAGGTGTCATATAGACATAAAACCAGGCAGGTGTTTCCAGATAAGAACGACTATGATTTGACTCAATAAATGATTATCCAAAGAAACTGACAAAAATATCAGACGTCTAGTTCAAGCTTCATGCATGTGAAGACGTGCCGCCTCTTCTTCTCTCTTTAGTTTCAGAATGATTAGGCGGTCCATTGCCAGCGATGGAAGTGGTCAAGAGAAGTGGTTCAGATAGAAGTGATTGTACCCGACCTAAAAAGCCTCTGCATGTTTCTAATAAGCTCCACGAGCAGAAACGTGCTCAAACTAGGATCAATATTGGAGATGCTTTTGAAAAATGGAGAGAGGTTAGAACACAGAAAAGGTTTACAGACCCATGCAGAGCTGGATAAACACTGAAGCTTCAGAGTCCACCACATGGTGACCTGAGTGAGCATCCACTCTAGAGAGGGGGGGGGGGGGGGAACAGCTCTCTATGATGTTTAGAAATCTGGACTGCAGTACCCATTTTAAACACTAGGGGTCAGAGTTACATACTGCTCTGAGCAGCTCCAGCAGAAATCTACAATGTAATAAATTAATCAAAAAAATGATTTCTGAATGTCAGAATAATTATCAGCAATCTTTTTATTAATAGAGGAAAAACATCGATCCGAAAGGGAATCATCAAAGTTTTGCTTAAAGACATGAAAGCGGTTTACTCCTGAGTAAATCACAACGACTGGAGCAAAAATCTAACTAACACCTAATATTTAACATCCAGTGTCATCCACACCAGTATAACAAATGAAAGGTTGGAGTTTTCCCTTCACACCACCTCAAATATTTAAAATCCTCTCTGACGTCGTGTCTGACCTGTCTGTCGTTTCTCGTTGCAGGTGTCGGAGAAAGGCCGGACGTCTGCGGTCTCCCTGTTACAGTTGGCCTCATATTCAGGTCTGTGCGTCCTGGTGAGGCTGCTGGCGTTTCGCAGCGATCGGCAGCCGTTCCCCCTCAGCTTAATGGAAGTCCTCAGAGACCCCCACGTTTTGAAAGTCGGCGTCGGCTGCTATGAAGACGGGAAGCGCCTGACGCGTGACTACGGCCTGTCCATGTCGTGTACAGTCGACCTGCGCTACATCGCCTTAAGACAGAGGTAGAGTTTATCAGCCTTTTCTCCTCTTGTGTTTTATGATGCTTCATCTTAAAACGATCCTGTTGAACTCGTCTCTGTTTTCAGGCAAACTTCGGTGACTAACGGCCTGAGTCTGAAGTCTCTGGCAGCCGATCTGTTGAATGTTTCTCTGGATAAATCTCTGGAGCTGCGCTGCAGTGACTGGGAGGCAGATCAACTGACCATGGAGCAGGTGATTCATGGAGTACAGGCCTCCTCACATATCTCATACGGCTCATTGTTCACATCTGTTCATAAATCAGTTTTTCAAAATATATAAAAATCACAAGAAACCTCCAGGTGATCTTTTTAACATCGACATGTATCCCTTTCCAAAGAGCGTCTCAAACACTACAAAGGGTGAAAATCCGATTGGTGCATCAAATAAAAGGTCATCTTGTACATCATTGGGTCCCAACCTGGGGTCTGAGCCCCCTTAGTCGGGGCGCAAAAGATCTCAGGTGGGCACGAAGCTCTGTCAGCTCTGAGGTGGTTTGGAAATATTTAGTAAAATCATGATGGTTTATAAACAAGTCTGTTGGTTAGAATAATGTGTGTGGGTTTATTCTGTTTTATCAAAAACCCTCTGCTTAGTGCAAATCCACAACAGGGCTGTGAAGAAGCTCCGCCCTCATTTAGATGTTCATATTGACTCCAAGTCACATGACTTCACAGTACAGGGAGACACTGCTGCAGAAGCACCAGAGAGCACAGTGGGAGCTTCACACACACACACACTCAGTAGAGTTCTACCTCGCTGGCTCTGCGGTTCCCGTCTCGCCCCTGTAAACACCTCGGTTACTACCGCCGATGACGGCACGGCAGGGGGGTCACTTTGGCGTTCAAGTATTTTCTGCTTAAGTCCATTTTAAGATTCTGTCTGAAAAGAGAACCAGGAACCATTCATCCACCCTTTGATTGTGTGGCTACATGTTACTGTTGCAAAGGCTTTTTGGGTATTGTAGTAATAAAGCTAAAGAGCCAGCTCT